TTTTGTGCTTTGAGGAGTGAGCAGTCATTTCTCTTATTTGTTAAAAAGATGTTTCTTCTCTTTCATTTGACATGTTTTCCTTGTTTGTGAGTTACTGCAGGAGGGTGCTCAAGTTAAAATAGCTTTACTTCACTGTCTTTCACCAGAAGCGCTGCTGGCTCTATCTCTGCGGGGCTCGCATCCTCCACGTGGCCCCACATAGACTGTCCAGAAACCCCTTACAGAGCCAGGTCCTCAGTCCCCGCTGTCGTCAGCACTGTGGCAGGCACTGGGGTACACAGGGAACAAGACAGATGTGTCCCCACTCCGATGTGACTGACATTCTAGTGTGTGGGGGAGAGAAACAGCACGCCACGAAGAATGTTGCTCAGAGTAGAAGTGGTCTTGAAGGAAGCTGTGATACCATGCGACCAAGTGGCCAGTCAGGAAAAGCGTGGCTGAGGAAAAGTCAGCTTAGACCCACGGACAGGGAAGTGGCAGCCCGGGTAAGAGCTGGTGATGAGGATTTTGAGCAGAGGAAGCTGCCAGTGCATGGGTGGTAAGTTTGAACAGACTTGGCATGGTCAAGTTCAAAGGCAGAGCAGCAGCCCAGTATGTCTGGAGGCTGTGAGCAAGGGGAGAAGAGGAAGAGACCAAGTTGAAGAGGCTGATGGGCACTTGATAGGGCAGGAATAAGGGGTACATTGTACGATGAAGCCTGAGCTGGCTGAATTGGACTGAAGACTGAATTTATTCAGTAAACGAATAAATACAATCGACATTTTCAGAGGCAGGCCCCTGCTTGCCTTCCACCCAGTAGATTCGTCTGCATTTGGCACTTGTTTGGCACAAAAGGAGAGACCTGCTGCTTTGGGAAACTCAGCCCAGTGACCTGGCATTGTGAGCCGGACCTCTCTTCCTTATAAAGAACTCAAATGGGGGCCTCCCCGGTGGTGCAGCAGTTGAGCGTTGGGTTGCAAAGCTGCCCGCAGCCTCTGCGGCGCCGGTTCAATCCCCGGCTACTCCCCAGCCACCGGAGGAGGGTCCCACATGGCACACAGACCTCTCCTGCTGCCCACTGCTCCCCTCAGCAGTGTACTTCGGTCCTTCTGCCTGCTCTGCTCCCCGCTCTGGCTCTGGTGAATTCTCTCACCCTCCCGCGCTTCTGACTGTACCCAGTGCTTGTATAAATAAATAAATAAATCTTAAAAAAAAAAAAAAAAAAACTCAAATGGGTCAAGTGTAGGTTTTTCCAAGAAATATTTCCTTTCCTGACATTTCAATGATAAGTTAAATCACAGGACACTATTACTTATTTAATATATTAGTTAGGACTCATGCTATGAGTCAAGCCCTGTATATTATTCTATCCTTTAAATAATGTACAGCCCCTGTACATTATTCTGTCCTTTAAACCTTGTCCCTTTTTGCAGATGAGAACATTGAACTTCAGATAAAGTAACCGAACTGAGTCACAGAGCAAGCCTGGGCAGGGGTGTGAATCCATCCGGGCGCTCCCTCTGGCCTCTCCTTGGTGGTGGTGGTGGTGGTGGTGGCCAACAACTCTCCCTGTGGACAGCTCATGACTCACAGTGGTGAGTCAGATGGGGCACTTGAAGTCCTCTCTTCTGTAATCTAGTGAATCAAAAACACTATTCAAGTTTGTCAGTAGCTTGCTCATGGGTGACTTCAGACCACGTAGCTGTTAAATTCCCAACTGAAGTTTGTCAAGATTAAGTTTCCCCGCAGGCACATAGCTAGTGAAAGAAACCCTGAATCTCTGGAGATTAAGACCAATACTAATACATCAAGCATGTGGGTTCATGGCTGTATGACAATTTAGGGAGAACAATCTATACTTTCTGACACTTTTGAAGGAAAAGACATTTAAAAATTGTAACAATAGGGGCCTCCCTGCTAATCTCAGCGCTGTCACCTTTACAGCTAAGGAGATAACCCACATGGCACAGCAGGCCTCTCCTGTCTCTCCTGCGACTCCCCTCAGCAGTGTATTTCAGTCAATCCTCCTGCTCTGCTCCCTACCCTGTCTCTGGTGGATCCTCTCACCCAATCACCTCTGGAGTCTGGCCTACACCTCAGGTCTTCTATGCATAAATAAATAGATCTTTTTTTAAAAAATGCAACAGTATTATAATAACAGTGTGTGGATATGTTAAAAGGAAGAAATTTTAAAAGTATCCCCAAACCTTACTGCTCTAACAAATAATGCACTTTTATTTTTCCCATCTCCTTTCAGTAACTGCCCAAGTTTATGCACATGTTACATAATTGCAATCAAGGCAAAGATACCCTGGTGTTTTCTGGTGACTTGATTTATTTTTATAGCAGTTTTCAATGTTGTTACATTTTCTTCCAAATAGCCTTTTTATTGGTAAAGTAAGGCTTCTTTTCCTTCAGTTTCTTTCTCTCATATCTGCCGCACCACCAACCTGCTCTTTGATTTAACATTATCCCTAGTTATGTTGAGGGTATTCATCTGAAATTGGCCTCAGATGATAGCAGAATTAAACCATAAATCATGATTTGGGGTTTTTCTAAATGAAATAGTAGTTTTTGGAGTGCCTTTCTCACTTTAAAATATTTAACCTACTCTCCTTTCACCCACCACTAGTTTTTGCCAAGCAGTAAGCTGTGATGCGTGGCACACACTTTATGGCTGTTAACATTTGACAATCAGCCCCAAGTTCTGCTAACCAGCTTTGTTAACTGGCATCCCTGTTAATGGAAAAATCAGTGTACTCCAGTTGCCTAGGCTACATTTCCAGTGTGCTTTATGTATTAGGTGTGGACATGGAGCACTTAAAAATAAATCACCAAGGTCAAGGCAAACATTAATCCTTGCTCCAGAGCTTGTTCTTATTTTTTTTTTTTAAGTTAATGAACTGGAGCAGAGGCAATAGAATGTTCCTAGTCTAAAGCCCACCAGTGAATTTCAGGTCAAAGCAATATTTTTGACCCTAGTGGGTAGTCAAGGTATTGAACTCCAGCACATGATGGAGATTCTGTCCAACTGATCTTAGGTTGACAAGTAAAACTGAGCTCGTCTGCTGATTCACTCTTTCCTCCTGTAGCCTTTAGGGTCTCCAGTGGGTATCATTTAAAGACTGACATCTGGGCTCAGGATATTCACACATTTTGAAGTAGTTTTGAAGCAGTGTGCTGGAGATCTGGGAAAATAAAAGAGCCTGGAGCCTGGTGTCTGCATTAAGGACTTAGAATCTATTTGGAAGGCTGCACACTCTGAGAGGCAGGTAGTACATGAGAAGGGAAGGATTGACAGGTGTTTAGGAGAGTGAAGTTTCCTGTGGATGAAATGACAGGAGTTTCATGTAATGTCGGTTGACATATGCTCTGAAGATTAGGTTCATTCACTTGTTCAGCACATATTTATGGATCTGGGAACACAGTAATGAGCAGCACTGGCTTCAATAAAATTTAACATTCAATTCTAGGGCAAGGCACGCAGTACAGAGCCATTCAGAGAGTGGGATGAGGAAACTAAAAAACAAGGTGGAGAAAGGGCTTTCCAGACCAAGGGGACAACATGTGTCAAGGTCCTGAGGCAGCAGGAGCTCAGACTTGGAGGATTAGAGCAGGCTCTTCTCCTCATTCAGGTCTTGGCTTCAACATCCCCCTTCTGTCATCCTGTCTTCAACAGCACATCATGCTTTCCTTGCCCCAATATGCCCTGATTTATTTCTTTTTTTGGTGTTTACGACATGACTTGATATTTTCTATTCATTTGTTTAGTTCTTTTTTTGTTTTGTTTTGTTTTTTTTTAAAGATTTATTTTATTTTATTTATTTATACAAGCACTGGGTACAGTCAGAAGCGCAGGAGGGTGAGAGAATTCACCAGAGCCAGAGCAGGGAGCAGAGCAGGCAGAAGGACCGAAGCACACTGCTGAGGGGAGCAGCGGGCGGCAGGAGAGGTCTGCACGCCATGTGGGACCCTCCTCCGGTGGCCGGGAGCAGCCGGGGATTGAACCAGCGCTTCAGAGGCTGCGGGCAGCTTCTCAACCCAGTGCTCAACCGCTGCACCACCGGGGAGGCCCCTGTTTTGTTTTGTTTTTGTTTGCTCTCCTGTATGGAACGTAAGCTCACTGAGACCTGGGACTTTGTCTTGTTTGTTACTATATCTCAAGTGCCTAAAACGGTGCCTGGCACACAGTGAGCACTCAGTGAAGATCTGGAAGAGTGAAGGAAATGTCTGTGTGCTTGAGCTTAGAGAGCAAGGGAGAGCATAGTACAAGACTCAGAGAGGGCTTAGATGTGAAGGAGAGCCTGCCATGTATCTAATTGGGAATGTCAAGGCCTCAGCAGGACAGTGGAGAGACCAGTTGCCAGGCAGGGTGGAAGGAGTCATCTAGAAAGCAAAACAAGGAGCCTTCAGTGGAAGTCAGAGAGAACATTAGCTCTTCTCACACCTAGGCCATTGACCCCTCCTCCCTCCATTTTATTTTTCTTCACATGTTTATTAAGCTGTGTTCTGTTCCAAGCCCCAGTGGCACCAGACATACAAAGGAGGAATAAAGCATGGTGTGATAGTTGCCTTTGGAGAGGACAATAGTTGATCCTGAAGATTTGGAAGGAGAGAATCTGATTACACAAAAATATAGGGAACTGAATTATTTGGACACACACTTTCATATGCGCTTTAAGCTTTTCCTTGCTGCTTATAGGATTAGCATTGACCTTTGGGAATTAATGTAACGATTACAGTTCTGGGATTCATTTCTGATTCACTAATGCTGATTGAGATGTATTTATTTATCTAACAGACACAATCAGATAATTATTACAAAGAATTAGTATGGTAACTGGTAAATCAGATCCGTGTAAACACACAAAAATTGATTCACATGTATTTAATGAAAAGATAAGACAAAAATAAGAAACACTGTGCTTATCACGGGGAGGATGTCTTTGTGTGTGTGAACCTGTTTGAATAGATTTGACAAGAAGAAAAAGTATCATGTTTTCTCTTTTCTTTCCCCTTAGGAATAATTCCAGCTAACGGGAAGGTGAATGTGACTATCAAGTTTACCCCCCTTCAGTATGGGACTGCGCAAATAAAGATACAGCTCTGGATCTCAGAGTTCAACTCGCAACCATACGAATGTGTTTTTACTGGAACCTGCTATCCCAACACAGGCTTAAAGTACGTCCACTTTGAACTGTTTGTGTTTATTCACAAAACTTTCCCCAAAATGCAAGTCTTCCTTTCTTCTACTTAAAGTGATGCGTTTTCATAAAATACACTTTGAGACAGAACAGTAACACATAGAATATCCCCGTGTATGTAGTAGTGGTTCTCTCTGCCCAGAGGGGAGATAACAGAGAAAAGGGAGTTTCTATACTTCTTTTTCACTGATGACTATTGATGTGTTGTTTAAAATTTTGACCTTAGGTATTTATATTTTGATACCCAACTGGAGCTTAGTACTTTATTTGGTGTACTCTTCATGTTTTCAAAGACTATGTCTCAAGACTTGCCTGTCTCCCCAGCATGTAATTCTAGTACCTCTCATGGTAGAGAAGGCAAATAGCTTCTGCAAGCATGGTAGCAGCTCTGTCTATACCTACTTGTGTCCAAAGATAGTTTCACTTGTAGAAGAGACCTCAAACTGCAGTCTAAGTCCCTTTTTAAGAGATCTTGTTACAAATAGCAAAGCAAAGTCAATTATTCTTTTACTAGGGCAATAAATCACTGTAAGATTTTTTTAATGTAGTAAATTTAGCTATTAAAAATTAACAGCCTAAAATTGAATTATGCTAGACTGTCAGAGCATTTTTCAGCATGTCAAGTTTTCCACTTATTACATTCTTTGAAAATATAAGGAAAAACAGCCATCTGATTACATTCTGATATATTGACTTTCCATTTGGCTTAGTAGACCACTGTTTTAGTGTACAGATTGATTTTCAGTTTATTTATAGTAATTAGTAGTTGTCAGTCATGGTATTATCAGAAGGAACATAAAAATAGGCATCTGGAGTTGTTGGAATATATACTAATTTCATATCTGTTTTAAACTATAGATCAGAAGAATTTGAAAGATTAACTACCCTTTCTAAAAAAGTAGCCGTTCCTCCTGAAAAGGCCATGTCACGTGTAAATTTTCGTCAACTTCCAGTAAAGACAAAGCCTCCAAAAATCAAGGTGAAGTGGTCTTTACACTAAACATGAGGGAAACAATGACAGAGAGGTAAAATAACAAATTTTCCCTCTTGATTTGGTTCCAGGAAATTGAGTATCAGAACTTGAGGTTTCCAGTAAATTTATCGAATCCATTTGCTGTAGCAACTGTTTTAAACCAAGAACCAGGAAGACTGAAGATTAAACAGTTAAGAGAAGGTAACCAGCTGATCCTTCATAAATCAGCCCCTGAGCAGAATATGAAAGAATTACTGCTTGTCACATTTACTATTTATGAACAATAACAATAAAACTCTGTTGATTGCTGTGTTTTGTCATTGGAAATGTGGGGGGTTTTTTTAGCACGTGGTTCTCCTGATTTGGTTACTGTTAATAATTGTTGTTTGCGCTTGCCCTCAGTGTTGGACCAAGGCAATGAGATTTCAAAAACAAGACAGATGAAGGAAGCACTCTTTGAACAGAAAGTCAGACAGGCCACTTACCAGGAGATCGAAAATCATCTTAAGTGGTAAATATTGGGCAATTATTTATATCAAGTGGCTGTGCAATGTTTTTAGTTAATGGCTTTTTATATGTAGGACACAATGAAATGCAATAATTTTTGTGCCTATTGAAAAATTTCATTATTCTCTTCCCTCCACTGGACTGAAGTATTGTTAGGAATAAATAAATATGACCAAGCCAGACTCTTCCAGAAGCATTACCAGGCAGTGGCAGAACCCAGCGTTCTATGGGGAAAACGCAGACACTGCCTCCTGTTGCCAGCACCCCTCCTCGAGGACAGACCAGGGTGACCCAGGCAACCCAAATCTTACCAATTATCTCTCACCCCACCATCAGCCCCCTGTACCTTATGGGGAGTTCAGCAGTACACGCTGGGGTGGGGGAGGGTCCCAATGGATGTTTTCAAACTCAGATGTGAGACCTCTTTTCTCATGATCCTGTAGTCAAAATGGAGCCTTCTGCACCATGTTTCAGTAGCTCATAGAAGCCATACCCATGTGTGCAGATTCAGCTAAAGTAACTTTAGAAACTCTTGAGCTCAAAAGGGGCTCCCTAGGAAAAGTCACTGAGAGGCCCCTTTTCCATGCCCCTGTCACCCACTTCCCACACAGGAGAACAGGCCCAGCACTCCAGGGCCTCAGATGCCTCATGCTCTACCTTCTGGCACGGGGTAATGTTCTTCATTTTTTACAGAAGCTCCTTCCTCTTCAGTCTGAATCTGTATTCAGGGTCTGACATTGGTGAAGGAATCATACCTGGTAACTGAAGCTCATTTTTTAAAATGTTCTTTCCCTGTTATAGAAATTGGACACATTGCCATTGCAGAAAACCTAAAAACTTGTTTTAAGTGGAGAGAAGGAAAAAAAATCAGCATGATGCAATAACCACAGTTAACACTGGTATATGTCCTTCTTCTGAGCTTCTTTGTAACATACTTGAAATTACATCCTAAATGCCATTTTGAATGCTGTGTTTGTATACTTAATATTTTTTTAAAGATTTATTTATTTATTTATACAAGAACTGGGGTATAGGCCAGATTCGCAGGAAGGTGAGAGGATTCACCAGAGACAGAACAGGGAACAGAATAGACAGACTAACAAAATACACTGCTGAGGGGAGCAGCGGGCACGACAGGAGAGGTTTGCTGTGCCATGTGAGACCCTCGCCATCCGGCCGGGATCAAACCAGCGCAGCAGAGGCTGTGGGCAGCTTCACAGTGCAGTGCTCAACTGCCTGCGCAACCAGGGGAGGCCCTTATGGGCTATTTTAAATAATGCAAAGAACATCAGTATACAAGTATGAGTGTGAACTTATTTTTGTAGTTCTCTCGGGTATAGACTTAGGTGAAGAACTGCTGAGTCATGGTAGTTCCTGTGTGTTTGAGGAGCTGCCAATTTTTTCCATGGCGGCTGCACTATTTTACATACCCATCAATGATGTACCAGGCTTCCAATTTCTCCACATCCTTAGCAGCACCTGGTAAATTTCTTTGTCATCACATTGTTGTTGTCATCACTGGTGTCATTGTCATCGCCATCCTTGTGAGTATGTTGTGGCATGTCATCGTGGTTTTGATTTGCATTTCCCTAAAGACTATTCATATTCAGCACCCAGACTTTTTGATTCATAAATATTTTAGCATGTGTTACTAGAAGATAAACTTCATTTTATAGAACACATTATTCATCGTAGTTATGTTGCTGAAGTCTCCAGAAATTCTTTCCCTCATGGTGTCTCCACTATCTCAGCATCTATTTTCAGTTGTGGAGTACAGCGAAGACCCTCACTCCATCATAACATTGACTGATAGTCTGATGGATTTTAGAATTTTTTTTTCTCCCCAGGCAGGTGCACCCTGGTAAAGATCACATGTCTCTTAAGCTTCAAAAAGAGATCCTTGAAGAGCGACAAAGAGCAGACACCAAATATAAGGTTAGAATTACTACTACCTTGATATCATTTATGACATTAAATATTTTGAATTCCTGCTATATGCAAGATGTCATGTCAGGAGAAAGAACATTTATAATTAGGTTGGAAGGCTGATGACAAGTTAATTGTTAACCATAATCAATCTTGTGACTGGAAGTGTCACAAAGGTGTGTACTAACTATTGTGAGAAGTCAGAAGCCAGAGAGGAGAGAATTCACTTAATCGGATAGTTTCTTGGAAGACATGATATAATTGAAAAGTAGTAAAGAGGAAAAGGTATTTAATTCAGAGTGAGAGAATGACTACAGTCTGGGTGGGAATTCTGGGGGTGAGGTCTGCCCTCCCTTTGAGCTGCAGTGCATGACAGTAAAGGGAGACCTAAAGATAGCAGCCAGGAGCCATACAAATTCCATGTCAGGGACTCTCAAATGGGCTGAGCAAAGAGGAGGAAGTGGTAGGGAGATGCAGGCCTTTCCTGGATCACAATGGCACTACCCATAGGGTCTGGGGAGGAGATTAGAGAAGGGAATGATGGGCTTGTGGGATACCCTGGCTTATGTGGCATCAGAGAGCTCTTCATAAAGACTTAAGAAATCTCCCTCTTTCTTCTAGCTAACAACCTATTTGCCAATCCTTTCAAATTGCCAGTTTCAGGGCATGTTATTCTATTTTAAAGAATGTTTATAAAATTTTAATTTAAAAGTTTGGAGTTGACAAAACACAATTAAATCCATTATATCATACTAAAAAAACCCGAATTGCCCTTTTCATTTAGTGATGGGTATGTTTCACCCATTGCTTATTGGATCTCTACAAGTTTTGAAATAAAATAGAGTTGTATGCATTTGCATTCAATTTAAATTTTTTTGATGATTGAAAATCCCAGCTAGATAGAGGAGATCCTGTTTTGGATGAGGAATTTCAGCGACTCAAGGTAGAAGTTAACCACAAACGAGTCATTCACAATCTAAATGAGGTGGGTAACTCTCCTTTCTTTGCAATCTAATTATTGGCTGCTTTTTATATGGTTATTTTCAAAAGGCTAAACTATTTTATAGAAATCCCTTCACCAAGAGATAACTAACCCTTTTTAATATGTGCCTACATATTCTCAAGTAAAGCATCAAAACTTGTGATTCATGGTCCCCTTGACATTAACAGCATTATGCACTTTGGCTGCTCCTTCCTGACCTCTGCTTTCTGCTTCTTGGCCTCCCTTGTAGTTTCCCTTTGCAGAGTCCTCAAGGTAGTCCCTGGGCCTCAGTTCCTTGCCCCACCCCTCCTTGGTGGGAAGAAGGGAGGTAGAAGACAGGAAGGTAGAAGCCAGAGTTCTAGGCCAGCTCTGCCACTGATTTGGAACCTGGAAAAGGCTCTCCCAGCCTTGGTGCCTCAGTGTCCTCAAATGTAAAATGTGGGCCGTAGCTCCTGAGCCTGAGGCTCCTCCATCATATGATAGCTTCTGCTTAAAGCCCAGTTTTTTAATTTAAACAACGGAAAAATTCTTCCTCATCTCCCCCACTTCTGCCATTTTCACCTTTCTTTCCTGGGTTGGCCACACCTGAGCTTTTGGTACCTCTTTTCCTCTACCCCATATTTTAATCTGGCTGTAACATCTTGCCCATAGCTCTTCCACAAGACCATATCCGAGTCCAACCTCGTTGTTGGACTAACTAATCCACGAGGTTGTTCCCCTGACTCTTCTCCACAGCCCTCTGTGCATTCCTGGAAAACTCATTCATTTTTGAGTTTCCTCTTCCTTCCTGTTGTTCTCCTGCTCAAGAACTTACAGTGCCCAAGGCTCTGGCTGCCCTCTGTGCACCCCAGGCCCGCCTTCCTCCTTCCCCCTTTACTGACTGGTGCACACTGTGCCCACCCGAGCAGGTGCTGTGCTGGTGCTGTGGGGCAGGCTGGGCACGGCGGCATCCTCTCCACCAGGGTCACGCAGTCTGCCCCTCTCAGTTCTGGAAGCAGTGCCAGCACCAGCCATGGGGGAATCATTAGTGTGTGACTTTATTCTTCTCCCTTGACTTGCGTGCCTTTGCCTGGGCGTCCCCAACCAGACTAAATTTTGTTAAAACCCAAACCAAACCTCATCTTCTATTTTTGACCCCAGCCCCAAAAGTATTCCCTGGAATGCTCTGAACATTAAAAGTGCCTAATAAATGCTCATTAAGTGGCAGAGCAAAAAAGTAATAACTTGATTTGGGATCAAACTCTAAAACGTTTTCATTAAATGCTTATGCCAGGATGTTAAAATTTAAATCTAAGAGGTGCCTCTATTTTATGTTCACAGAAAATCAAGGAATTTCATCCTAATTTTGATCCACTCGTTAATAATACTTGGTTCAACAGGTTCAGGGCACAAAGGAGGTTTCAACAAGCAGCGCGCAAGGTGAGTCTCAGCACCAGGTTGAAATTTTAATTTGTTCAGTCATCAGCCCAAGGAAATGGAACCATTTTTTATAGCAACTTTACTGAGATATAAACCATGTACCATAAAATTCATCTTTGCAAAGTGCACTATTCAGTAGTTTTTAATATATTCGGTCACACAGCTCTCACACAGTCTAATTTGTAGAACATTTTTATCACCACAAAAAGAAATCAAGCTCTCATTATCCATCACTCTGCATCCCCCAGTCCCTGGCAACTGCTAACCCACTTTCTCTCTCCATGGATGTGCCTATTCCAGATGTTCCGTGTAAATGGAATCGTGCGGTATCTGACCTTTTGTAATTGACTGCTTTTGTGTGACGTGCTCAGAGGTCATCCATCTGTACCATGTATCAATACTTCTTTCTTTTCTATGGACAAATGCCATTTCCTGTGTGTAGGCCATACTTCCTGTATCTGTTAATCAATTAAAATGTGGGTATTTCTCACTTCTAGGCTGTTACAAATAATGATGTTATGAATATTAAGCTCAAGTTTGTGAATGTATGTTTATAATTCACTTGGGTATATATGCCTAGGAGTAGAAATGCTGGGTCACATGGTAACTCTAGAACAATAGAGAGGACACTGGAGAACACCTGTGAGATCATGTCTGCAGCACCCACGCTAAAGCTTCCCCTTCAAAGCATGTCATCTCACTGCTGTGCTTTCTTCACCCTCATCCTGGTGTCCCACCCAGCACACTTCGACCCTCCAATGGCTGCCTATGATCAAGAGCAAATGAAGACTTCTTGGACTCTCGTGCAATAAAGGGCATAAGCTTCTTGCCCCACCTTCCACCCCCCACATTGCTACAGCCACACCTGTTCAGCTACCCCTGTGTCCTCTGTCAGACACACCAGCTCAGTCCCTACTACAAACCTGTGCTCTGCTCCTCACCCTTCAACCAAATGCCATTCCGGCTCTCCTTCCTCTGTCCACTCCTGTCTGTTACACCAGCTGAGTTCTCCCTTTCCTCCACAGAGATTGGAAGCTTTAGCACTTAGCAATCTCCATAGTGATTCTTGTGTCTTGGGCTGCCTATAGATCTCTTGTCCCTGCCACCAGTGTGGCTGCCTTGGGTAGCAGAGCCTCCCCTCAAATGAGGGAGAACAATCAGACCCTGGAATCAGGCTACCTACCTTCTTTTTTTATATATTTATTTATTTATGGGTAGAACTGAGGTGTAGGCCAGAGGTGCAGGAGGTTAGAGGATTCACCAGAGACAGAGTGGGGAACAGTACAGGCAGATTCACTGAAACACACTGCTGAGGGGAGCAGCGGGCGAGACAGGAGAGGTCTCCTGCACCATGTGGGTCAGCTCCCTGCTAGGGGATTGAACTCAGGCTGTGGCTGTGATAACGCTGAGCCTAACCCCTCTGCCACCAGGGAGAGCCCTCCCTTACTTCTTTTTTTTTTTTTTTTTAAAGATTTATTTATTTTTTTATTTATTTATACAAGCACTGGGTACAGTCAGAAGCACGGGAGGGTGAGAGAATTCACCAGAGCCAGAGCAGGGAGCAGAGCAGGCAGAAGGACCGAAGTACACTGCTGAGGGGAGCAGCGGGCGGCAGGAGAGGCCTGCGCGCCATGTGGGACCCTCCTCCGGTGGCTGGGGAGCAGCCGGGGATTGAACCATTGCTGCAGAGGCTGTGGGCAGCTTCGCAACCCAGCGCTCAACCGCCGTGCCACCGGGGAGGCCCCCTCCCTTACTTCTTGATGCTACCTCTTGTGGGCATTCAGATCTTAAGACAAACCATCTAAGCTGTGTGCCTTAGTTTCCTCATCTGTATCTGAGGATAACAGGGATTTTGTGAAGCTTGAATGAGGGAGTATGCATAAGCGACCCCAGCAATGTATGCCATAGGTAATCTTTCGAGCAGAGCTTTCAGCCTGCACAGAGGGTGGTGAAGTGGAGAGGCAGACCTCGCTGCTTTATGACCTAGCCCCCACCTCCAAGGCTCTGTAAAGCTGTGCCTGCCGAGGCTTTGGCCGGGTGAGTTCTGTATACACACAGAACAGAGGTGGTCACCAGATGTTCAGTGTGGGGAAGAAAGTCATGGGAAGAGGTGGCACAGTGCTGCGCTCTAAGGGAGAAGGGCACAGCTGTTGACGCTGGACCAACAACAGCAAGAAACTTGCCAGGCTGACTTCCCACTGGTGGACCATCCTGGCCTTTTTGGAGCAAGGTCTCTGGCATGAAAATTATATTGCCAGCATTTCTGTTCTTTGCTCTGAATGGTAGCTCAGTCTTTTCTCACACCCTCCAGCAAGTACTGACAGTCAGTTGTGCAAGCATGTCCCTGGCCTGATGACGTCCAGCCATCTCCCTGGCTCAGTTGCAGTAGTCACCTTTCGCCTGGACCTCTGTGACAGAACTCTCTGCTTCCAGTGTCCATCCCGCCATCAGAGTGTGATTTCCAAAGCTAGAACCTCTGGGAGGCTTCTCACCGCAATTGAAATAAAATGCACTTTTCATGACGGCCACAAGGCCATACTGGATTTCTCTCCATTCCTTAAACACATCCCCTTTGTTCCTAAACAGGATCATTGTATTGTAAGATGAGCAAGACTGCAGCCATTTTGAGAAATAACTGCCATCTCAAAAGGGCACAGCTAGGTTTCGTTTCTGGGCAGAAACCACAACATAAGGAGAAACAAAACCTAGCTGGCACCATGAGAGCTATCCAATCAGGGTGGACCCTGCCCCAGGTGTGAAAAGTCCCTGCATCCTGTAACAAAGTACAAAAACAGCTGGTTGCTCTGGGAGGGGGTCCCTCTCTCAACCTGCTGAGACTGCTGTGTCAGTACTCCAGGCAGAGTCGGGCCCTAGCTTAAGCTTGCAATAAAGCCTTTTTGCTTTTGCATCTCTGGCCCCGTGTGGTCTTTGGGAACCCGGGACGGAGTTGAGGCGCCAACTCCTAATAGTGCATGTCAGTTTCTCTGCTCAAAACTCTCTTCCAAAGATCGTTGTTACTTCTTCATTGGAATCTCAGGCCAAACCTCACCTCCTCACCTTCCCTGATTATCCTGCATGGTGACCAGAGACTCATCTTTCATTTTCCAAACAGAGTATCATCTTTCATTTTCCAAACAGAGTTTATCTTATTGAACTGTTTGTTCTCTCTCCCGACTCCTCCCACAAACACACACTTGGAGCATCAGTTCCAGGCAGGCAGGACATTTGTTTGCTCCCCTTTGTATCTCCAGTACCTTGCACAGAGCTGGCCACAGAGTTGCCACTTTGTAATAGTTGTTAAATGAAGGGGTTCTCTGCAGAAGGGATAGGGTGTTCATACTAGAATGAGTCCCTTTCCACTGCAGCTCTGGGCACGAGTGCCCCTCACCTTCTGTGGCCGCCACTCTGAATGCAGGGCACAACGGGGTACAGCTAATACACCACCCGCCATCCGCAGTCCCACTTAACAGAGTCCTGCAGTTAGTCTGTCCTTCAACTCTGAAAATAACTCAGCAGGAACATACTATTCACACATACCAAGAAGACAGAATATAGAACTAGCCTTTCTTTTCATTCTGAAGATATAAGAAAACCAACTCTCATAAATTGGGTGGAACAAGGCCAGATGACAACCTGCTAAGTTTTGGTATTTAGACAGGTCAACAGTGTCCCGATCTCAAGGTCCCCATGGCCACTCTCGCTGTGAATATGACTTAGAGTGGTGGCCTCAGCCCTTAGTTGTGTTCGGGGGAAGCAAATTGAACTGAATGCCAAAGTAAACATGTACCAGTAATAATTTGAAATCACTATCTTTCTAATTCTAGATTATGATCCAACGACGATTATTCATTATGCTGGATGCTGTTCGTAACATGGACAAAGAGGCCGTTAGGAGAAATCTCAGGGAAGGAAAAGATTCAATATTACAAGGTAAAAGTACAGCTGTGAAGGACAGCAAATGCTTTGCCCTGTAAGTGCCCCGAGAATGAGTTTTCTTCATAATGAAGTTAGTTGTATAGACACAAAATATTTCCATCAATTACATGTGTTAGTTTCTATGGCCATTCTAACTAGTCACCACCACTTGCAAGGACAGAAATTTATTATCTCATGGTTCTGGAGGTCAGAAATCTAAAGTTAAGGTATCAGCAAGTCTGGTTCGCTCTGGAGACTCCAGGGGAGACCGTTCCTGTCCTTTTCAACTTTTGGGGGGATGCCTATATTCCTGGGCTCATGGTCCCATCTGCACATAGCCAGACCTTTTCTTTCGGTCATCACACCACCTTCTCTGCCTTGAATCCTCCCACCTCCCTCTTTTATGGTCTGTGGGATTGCTTTGTACCCACCTGGTTTAACCCAGGACAAGTTCCCCATCTCAAGATCCTTAATTACAGTTGCAAAGATCGTTTTACCATGCAAGGTGACATATTCACAGGTTACAGGAAATGGAATGTGGTTGGGGAGTCATCCTTCTGCCTACCCCAGGACACAGATCAGACCATGTCAGCTTTGGCTGTACTACCTGCCCACCGACTGACCTGGCCAGGTGTTAATGTCTGGGTGGTTTGGTCATGGCCTGACCTCCCATTCTGTGCCCTCTGTTCTCTCTTGTCCCGAGACTAGGACACTCCTCATTCATACTTGCTGACTGGCTGGATCTGGTATTAGCTCAATAGAGACTTGCACATAAAACTTTTTATCTCGTATTTTCTTTGCTACTTCAAGAAATTTAACCCTCTGATTCTCGGTTGATCGGAGCTATGGGAAGCCCATTCTTAGCTTCTGGGAGCCGAAAGCCATATCATCATCTTCTTGCAAAACATGTGTTTCTGATCCGTGGCTCACATGCAGAGCCACAGGGCACACTGAACCTCCCAGACAGACCTGCCTCCAGCTCCGGCCAGGCTCAGGATTGCCTGTCCTCCCCAGGCACGACCGCTCTGCTCTTCTCCAAGATCCAGATGTGTGTTTTGTTTTTCATAACATTTACTGCATTTCGATTATTCTTTTGTCCTCAGATTATTTTTATATCTCTGGTATTCAAATTTCTAGTAAAGAAACTTTTGAAAACATTGTGAAGTTTGTATGGGTGCTTATAAAATGTCTTCCCTGGCTTCTTTAGTCTTTGTCTCTGCTGACAAGGAGAAAGAATATTCATCGAAGATACTTAAAAGTAGAAATTATACTTGGGGAGAATAAAAACAATTTTTTTTTTAATTGGAGAAAGGGCTGAGGTAAAAGTCCAGAGGGAACACTCAAAATGGAACAGCTCACATACATAGTCTTTTTGAAATGCTATGTGACAAGGACTCACTAATTGGTGTGAGGCAAATATGAAAGTAAAGTGGTGGTTTGACACAGAAACACCTGAAGCACCCAACTCCACCCCCACCCTTCTCACCATGCTGTTTTGTCTGTCGCCCACAGAGAAGAGTTCCTCTAAATTTATGCTGCGGATGAGTCAAGATGATTATTCTGGTCATTTCTCCGTATCGCCCATGAAAATACTGCCCTTCACCTTCCCATCCTGCTTTACTACCACAACCCCTGATGAGCTGGTGGGTGCTGTCAGGCTGTGGGGTGGGGGTGGGGCATGATCAGGTGTGTGTAGGGTGGATACCAAGGCAAGTCCTACCTCAGTCTGAGTCCCTCCCCCTCCTCCTGAGGCTCCCAGAGGAGGCCTGTGCCCAGGGACTTGTGACCGGTGGGAAACCAGAATCAGCTCCTGCCACCGCCTGGCATCTGATACACCTGCACTGGCTATCTGGTACCTGGGCTGGGTCCTTCCCAGCCTACACCGCAGCAAGAACATGAGCCCTGCCTGACTGTCTGGGAAGCAGGCCTGAGAGCCCAGGGCAGAGGGAGAAGCATGGTTGTAAATTACAAAAAAATAATCGAGCAGACTAGGGATACTTATCCTGAGTTTAGGGACCTGGGGTACTGGGGGATATTACATGACAGGCAAGAAGGGTGGCCTTGTCCTAACTCTCAGAGTGAAGATAAGATTTTTAGAAAGAGAGAACATGTTCACTGATAACCCTAGAACTGGGCAGACCCTCCAAACTACCACCTTCTAGGTCATAAAACGGGAGTGATGATTGTTTCTCTGATGAGGAAAAGGGCAGAAGCTTAGGATATGATGATCGCTTACTCCATTAGGGAGGGACAAAGGATTTAGATAAGGATAGAAGCATATCCTCAACCTCAAGGGATTTCACTGCTCTTCAAAATATTCTGCATGCCAGACCAGGGCTTCTTGAGGACCAGCTCTGAGAATCGTGGACTGGTCTGATTTGGGCATCTTGAATTAAGAGTCCCTGTCCCGTAGAGGCAAGTGTCCAGCTCAGCTGAGCCCTCTTGCTATGTGGGCAAATGGAGAGGCGAGAGTAGACCAGCAACCAGGCCTGTAACCCACATGGTGATGAGGGCTGTGGACCCAGAATCTAACATCTAACTCACCAGACTCACAACTGTACTACCCCCTTCACTCCCTCACCCTGGTCTCTTCCTCTCGGTGTCTCTCTCACCCTTTGCCCGCTCCTCAGGTCCACTGTAGTACATTATAAGAAATAGTAGCTAGTTCTTACATTGCATTTAACATGAGTCAGACAGTGTCTGAGGTGTTTCAGTTGAATCAATTTATTTAATCATCAACAAATCTGTGTAACAGGTTTGTCGACTTATAGATAAGGAGGGAACTCACACACAAGGTCACATAGGCAGAAATAAAATGTTGTCCAAGTTCACAGAGTTAGCAATAACAAGTTGGTATTGAAAGTACATATACAAAATAAGTTTTTAGTTTCAAATAATGAACTTGCCATTCACATCCTATAGTATTTGTTAAGCCCAGCAGACTGATCTACTCTAGAATTTCAGGTGGGACATTAGAAGTTCTAAGTGCTTTCTGCATTAGATAATTAAATGATTTAAAAGATCAGAGTATTTAGTTCCTAGAACATAATAAATCGGTGGTTTTCAAATAATAACAAGTATTTGATACTCAATAATTGAAGGGGTGGAAAGGGTGATCGAGATGTAGAGACAGGGCCCCGGTGATATGCGACCATCTCATTATTTTGAATAGTTGAAAACTTATACATTTCATTTGATGCTTTGTTTAATTCATAAAGACTTCGCTGCTCAGGGTGGATGAAAATCAGAAGGGTTAGCATTCCTGTTTGTAAAGAATTTTTAATTTATTCCATAAATGCTGTATTTCATCAATCTTAAGATCACTATTTTGTATCGTTAGCATGTTTGAAATTGGGAAATGTCTTACAATTGAGGCCATATTAGCCTTCATCATATTAATTGAATGATGGAATCTTAGATGAGGTATAGTGTGATGTTTACCGAATGTCCGTAATACATCGGGGGTTGCTCCAGGCTCTCTGGGGGTCTGGGGCAGATGAGCCAGCAGGAAGTTTAGCGGGTCATTTTGGGGACTCGCCTGTGGAAGGGAAGCAGGAGGAGCAGCAGTGAGACGTCTGAGTGCAGTGCTTTTGGACCAAGCCTCAGCAGGGCTCGGGAGGCATTCTGGAGCTAGGAGCAGGAGTGAGGCCCCACATCCACACCTTTACTCCCACCTGTCAGTGGAGGCAGCCTGCCTGGGTGGGCACAAGACCCTGAGCAAGGCAGCTCCCTTCAGCCAGGGCAACTCCTGAAGAGGGCTGACCCCCACGAGTTGTTTTTTCTCAACTTGGCTCCTAGCAGCTGGGTGACGAGATCTTTCCAGCCCGAAGGGGATTCTGGGCGGCATTGCAGCTTCCGCAGTAGTGGAAAGGAAAAAATAGAGACACCCTATATACCAAGAGACAAGAACAAGGGAGTGGCCAGCACTGTCTGCGCAGCCCACACATCAAGTGAAATTGTCCCAAAAAGAGTGACTTTGAGAGTCAAACTGTTTATTTAATGTTCAAAATGTATAGAAATAGAATAGTTGCTTTTGCTCATTGTTGATTGTGCTCATATTTTGAATTTGCACATTTTAGGCTCCTGATGGCCTTGGACCAGTCCCAATTAAACCTTTAGATCTTCAAATCAAGCAGAGTTATTCCTACTTCAGTCTGCAGGTCAGACCTGTCATATGATGTCAGTTCTTTGTGTTTCTCATGAAGTGAACAAATAGTCTTGGATTTGAATTTTATGTCAATTTTATGTTCCGTTATTGGCTAAGTGGCACATGGTGCGTGTTTTTCTGCTGCTGTTTGATGATGTGTGTGAGGAATAACGTTGTTTTTTCCTGGCGTGGAAACCAGAATCTTTACTCTGAATATACTGTGTGACATACAACCGTGAAGCTTGCTAAACAACTTCTATTAGAAACTTTAAGGAAAAAAATATAAGGGGCCTCCCTGGTGTTGCAGGGGGTTAAGATGCAACCTATAAAGCAATCTGCAGCCACTGCAGCACGAATTTGATCCCGGCCAGGGAGATGACCCACATGGCGCAGCAGACCTCTTCTGTCTCCTCGCTGCTCCCCTCAGCAGTATATTTCAGTAGATCTGCCTGTTCTGGTCCCCACTCTGTCTCTGGTGAATCCTCTCACCCCCCCACACACCTCTGGCCTGTACCCCAATTCTTATATGTATAAATAAATCTTTAAAATATATATATATAAGATGAAGTGAACAACAGTTAGTCAGCCTTTCTTGAGGTACATGACCCTTCCTAGTTTTGCAAATATGATTATTTTCAGTTGACAAGCTACTACTGGGTATATTTCAGCAATTACACCATTAGGTGCAAGGATACCCATGTGTGCTGGGGCCCAGAGCAGGGTGGGGGCTGTGCTGATGAAATCTCTCCAGTGCTGGTCAGATCTAACTATGGCCCCAACTGATGGTTTCTTTTTTTTTTTTTTTTAAGATTTAATTATTTATGCATACAAGAACTTGGATGTAGGCCAGAGGTGTGGGGGATGAGAGGGTTCACCAGAGACAGAGTGGGGAGCAGAACAGGCAGGTACTGAAATACACGGCTGAGGGGAGCAGCGGGCAAGCCAGGAGAGGTCTGCTGCGCCATGTGGGTCACCTCCCTGGCTAGGGATTGAACTCCTGCTGCAGTGGCTGTAGATAGCTTTACAGTGCTGACTTAACCCCTTGGATTAACCTCTTGCGCCTATAGAGAGCCCCTCCCCCCCCAACTGATGGTTTCAACAGGTGCTTGTTTTCCTCTCACCTTCAGGCAGCCTGGAAATGTTGTTGAGTAGATCCCACTAAATGATAAGGGGCTTTTTTTTTTTGATTCAGTGAGGTCATTTTATTTTTTTATAATAAATTTTATTTTTATATTCCCCATACAATTGCAACCCCCTTATTTTGACCCCAGTCCCTCCCCTCCTGCCCCCTACCCCCCACAGAGTGTCTCTGGTTCATAGTTTTTTGTTGATTTTGATTTTCACTTTCTTATAGTTATTCATTTTCTTGGTCCCTTATTTAAGTTTTCTAGATTCCTGCTATGAGTGAGCTTCCATATGATCCAGCAATTCCACTCCTAGGTATTTACCCAAAGGACACAGAAACATCAATTCCAAAGAGCACCTGCACCCCTATGTTTATAGCAGCACTGTTTACAATAGCTAAGCTTTGGAAACAACCCAAATGCCCAAAAATGAATGACTGGATCAAGAAGATGTGGTACATATACACCGTGGTATATTACTCAGCATTCAAAAATGATTAAGGGGCTTTTAAGGCTACTTAATCATTTGTCTTCCTTCATGCTTAGGTTCCTCAACTGTACAAAATTAAGGGTTATCAGTCCTTCTCCATCCAGAAGTCTGCAATGAGCGACAGGCCACGGACGCTTGCTCGGGCCCTGAAGCAAGGAGCTGAGGTAACACATCCCCACCTTCAAGGATCTCTCTCCCCTGAGCTCTCATGCTGGTAACACAGTTAACATGCTGCTCCTGGTCCTGTCCTAGGATGAAGCCACCACCATCATAACCCTGCCGAAGCACGACTGCGCACTTCAGCTCCCTGGCAGCTCCTCCGTCTTGAGCATGCAGCCCCCCGAAGCCTTAGCCAGGTCTCCAGATTATGACCCGCTTTATATTTTTGTAAGTGACAACTGGCAGAAGTCATGTGTTCTTTGTTCCTATATTTACACGGTCACTTAGTAAAAAACAGAAACATTAACTAGGAATATTTTCCCTCTTGGCAATATCAAGGACTAAGCAATATCTCGCCTTTGAGATTGCTTGCCGGCATTTATTGTTTGCAGAATTTATCAGTGTTCCTGTCTTTTCACATTTATTTTTATGACAATATCCTTAAGATCTTTTCTACATTATAGTAATGTTTCTACATTATTCTACGCAGGCTCCCTCCGTGGGCCTCATCACTGCCACACCCTCCTTCTTTTATATCCATGAGTTCAGTCCAGAGCCCCCAGCCTCTCTCCCTGGCTTTAGCAGCCCCTCAGCACCAGACTTCCAGTCTTTCCAGCTCTCCTGACCACTAACACATTCACACACCCACCATCATGAGACTGTCTTCCCAGTCTGGATGCCCTAGGGCCCCCCTGGTCGATCTACATTTTCTTTAGGTTATGGGGGACGTTTGTTTCTTAGCAATGAAATTGGGTTTTCATCAGCCAGGTGGAGTTTTGTTTTATTTTAATTGTCTTTTTAAAAAATCATACAAACAAACAAAAATAACAAAATCTTAACCTCATGGTTCTTCAATGTCTGAAATGAAATAACTGTGAGTGGTTAGAAACTAAGCTGTTTGGGAAGAGTAGGGTTTTTTTGCTGGGCAACCCCAAAAGGAGCATGAAAAGCCTTATGTTCTCTATTTTTATGTATTTGCTCTGTGCCTCCAGTAGTTCTGCTAGAAAATTAAAAGAAAAACAGGATCTCCCTGAAAACCAGATACTACATCCAAACGGAGCCTTCCTGGATTAAAAACATTACCAAAACAATGTTAAATCTTGACATTTCCTGATATATCAAATGTCACCCTCTTTATCTTCTCTCTAAAATAGTTTTTAAGAGCTATTTTCGTTTGCAAGACCAGAAGCTTATTTGCTTTTCAGAAACCAGTTTGATTATTAAATAATACCCCCTGATATATCATATTTAGAAAAACAAATACTTAAAGTCATTTAAAGTTGTAATTTCAGTTACGCTTGTTGCCATGTGAGTTTAGTAAATCCACATGGTAGGTAATGAAGCTCTTAATCTGGAAAAGTGGCATTTATGAATGACTGTGACATTTAAAATGCTACCAATTTGAAGACACCTCTGCTCTCCTTACCCAGGCGAGCTGACTTGGAGTCAGTGTTAGTTTGGGTAGGAGCCATGGAGGTTAGCTCATGCCCACCCAGTGCCTGGTTCAGAAACTGGTAATCAAAATAAAAAAAGAAAAATCTTTTGGGCCTCCCCCGGTGGCGCAGCGGTTGAGTGCTGGGCTACGAAGCTGCCCGCAGCCTCTGCAGAGCCGGTTCAATCCCCAGCCACCAGCGAGGGTCCCACATGGTGCGACAGACCTCTCCTGCCACGCCCGCTGCTCCCCTCAGCAGTGTAGTTCTTTGTCAGTCTGCCTGTTCTGTTCCCTTCTCTGGCTCTGGTGAATTCTCTCACCCTCCCACGCTTCTGACTATACCCAGTGCTTGTATAAATAAATAAATAAATCTTTACCAAAAAAATTTTTTTTCCTTTTTTTTTCTGCAGAATCCCAGCCCAGGATTATTTGCTGTGATGCACCCCATGACCTATGTAGAAACCTCAATAAATTACCATCTGTGCCCGCACCCCAAGTACAAGTTCACCAAAGAGTCCCACACTGGATCCAGCATTCCTCTCACCCAAAAACAATTTCTCCATCACACGGTAATGCCAGCACTAGACCCACGGGTGGAGCTGGCCCTGGGCTGCAGGGAAGGGTGGCAGGGGACAAGGTTGGAGGGTCACAGCTGGAACTGAGAAGTTTTGCAGCCATGGCTACAGAGGAATGGTGACAAGGGCAGCAGTTGGGAGACTCAGAACCTCTCTCATGCATTCTCTACCTCTCAGGCTACATGTTGTGCCCCCCCCCCCAACACACACACACACACACACACACACTTTTTTTTTACAACTTTTTTTTTCACAATTTTTCCCTTGAGAACTAATATTTATTTTATTTATATTTCAATCATATAAAAAATGATCACATGATGGGCATTACCCTTGTTGGTCTACTTCTTTTTGTTGGCCCCAGCAAGGGTAAATACACCAGAATGGACAAATGCACAGTAAGGAAGAGTCTCCAAAGTGTTTCTTCTCCCCCCAAGATAACCATCCTGACCTAGGCATACAGTGACATCTCGTTGGGAAGTTACCCTAAGCCCTTCAAATTCATTAAACATCCACCTTGACCCACCACTGTGCAGTCAGTCCTCCCTAGAAATCTTCTTTTGACATACACCTGATTATGCCATTTTTCAGCTAGAAAGTGCTCAATGGTCCCTGCTGCCTGTGGGAATAGCTCCCAGCTCAGTAGCATGGCCCACAAGGCTCTCATGACCAACCTGCTTGCCAGCATCACCTCCTGTCAGTCCCCATCCCCATCATACACCCCCCCCACCCCCCCCCCCCCCCACCCCACCCCCCGCCTTGGGCTGGCCCCTTCTTCCTGCCAGACCCTCCTTAGCATCTCCATGCATTCCCATTTGCTCTACCTGCTTGGAATGCCATCTGCTGAGGGGCCCATTGTCTTTAAATGTTGCTTTAGCATCACATTTACAATAACCTAAAGAGACCGTAAGACTGGGCCTCCCCTGGTGGTGCAGCGGTTGAGCTTTGGGCTGCGAAGCTGCCAGCAACTTCTGCAGAGCCAGTTTGATCCCTGGCCACCAGCGAGGGTCCCACAAAAAAAAAAAAAGAGAGACTGTAAGACCATCTTTAATTCTGTTATGTTGTTTAAGGCCCCTTTGGTGTTAAGCTGCCCTTATTGTCTTTTAGCTTCAGAAAAGTCCATTTACTGGACTTCATGAAATGATAAATTTTGGAGCTAAACTTTTAAGGATGGAAAATAGCTCATTGAAATGGAAGTCCCGCCTAAACTTTTCCTCAACAAACAGTTCCTTCACAAGGAGTCCCCCTGTGCCCACTTTCACTGCAGGACATTATTCCCGGAATAATGCACTGGAAAAGGTTCCAGCCCCTGGTTTTCTCATCCCTGCTCGACAACCACAAGATAGAGGCCACACGGAGGTAAGCCACCATCCACCTGTTGGTCTCACAAGGTTATGTCTGCCCTATGAATTACAGAGACAGTGATCCTGTTATAGGGCAGCCCCGATATTGAGCGGGTTGCCTGGCTGTGGGTCCTCACCCGCGCGCTTAAAAGGGACTTATTAATACTCCACTACAGGCACACACAAAAGGTTAATAAAAGGTTTATTTACAAGGGAGAAGGAAATAAGGAAAATGTACAACTCAGGGAGAAAATAGGGAAATAAAGTCTTTAATGCGTCCTACCCGATCGGCCGACCTGGAAACCCAAAGGCACTCTCAGAGCTGGCCGGACGCTGCTAGCTGGTGGAGAGCCAAAATGGGGGACCCCTCCAAAGACCACGTGTCTGCCTTATATCAATCTGGCTGCTTAACCCCACCCTCAGGTCCCAGCCAGCTTCCCCTTGGTGGTGATGGGATTTGGAGTTCCCGGTGTCTTTGGCTTTGGCCTGGGGTGGGGGTGGAGTCCACAAAGCCTGTATGGAATTAGCTCTAGGACATCCTTTCCCCCTAACACTCCCAGAAGTTAAGTGCTAATAATGTGTCTGATTATATTTTTAACACATAAGGAAAGATTCCTAGTGAGAGAAATAATGATGATGTATAACTGATTTTCATGTTTGAATTTGTTAGTTGAAATGCATTTAAAAAGTGAATGTCACAAGTGGCTAGTTGGCTGTATGTCAATAAATGTAGACAACTGACAGATGGAAACTCCACTTTTGGTGGCAAACATAATATAGAGATGTTAATTTGGATTTGGTACACCTGAAACCTATATAATGTTATAAATCAACATCATTCCAATAAGAAAAAATTTAATTAGACAACCAGTCCATATAATTCAACCAAAATATTTATGGTCAATTTTTACCATTTAAAAATTGTCAGGGCACATAGTGCACTAGGGGTGAACTATGGGTCATTTGGTGGTGGGTGCACTATGGTTACCACACTTGATGGGGATATCCCACTATTACCTCAGGTAAAAATAAATTAATAAAATTAAAATAAATAAATATATAAAAATGGGGGCTTCCCTGGTGGCACAAGGGGTTAAGTCTCAGAACTATCAGGATATTGCCAGCCTCTGCAGCATGAGTTCCATCTCCGGCCAGGGAGCTGACCCACATGGTGCAGCAGACCTCTCCTGTCTCGCCCACTGCTCCCCTTAGCAGTATATTTCAGTAGAATTGCCTGTTCTATTCCCTACTCTGTCTTTGATGAATCCTCTCATCCCCAGCACCTCTGACCTATACCCCAGTTTTGTATGCCTAAATAAATAAAAATATATCTTAAAAATTGGCAGGGGGCCTCCCTGGTGGCACAGGTGGTTAAGCACAGCAAAGCTGTTCGCAGACTCTGCAGCACAAGTTCGACCCCTGGGGCCAGCCAGGGAGCTCCCTACCTGTCGAGGCAGACCTCTCCTGTCTGGCCTGCAGCTCCCCTCAGCAGTGTATTTCAGTCAGTCTGCCTGTTCAGTTCCCCGCTCTGTCTCTGGTGAATCCTCTCATCTCCCACACCTCTGACCTATACCCCAGTTCTTGTATGCATAAATAAGTGAATCTTTTTAAAAAAATAAAAATAATAAAAATTGTCAGGATTAGCTTTCTACACTCTTTATATCTAAATCCAGGGAATCCACATCTCTCATGCACAGCCTGGCAATCACTATGAGGTTCCCTGGCTGTCACCATCAGAGACATAGCTCAGCTCAGGTATAGCCTATAGCTCAGCTTCAGAAACAGAACTGATCGATGAGAATATTGCTGGACGAAGGAAGGGAGAAATTTAGACTAACTAAATTTTTGCTAATTTACTTATTCGGAGCCCTCTTTAGAGCCCTAAAGTGTTGAACAAGGAGACTTATACTTTTTCTTTAAGTCTCTGACTGCTCAATAACCAGTTCCTGAGTCCTTGAATTTACTTCTTTAGTCCACTGTTCTTATAAACACTGTTAAATGAGTTGTTGGTGAGAAAGTGCAGTGAATATCTCAAAAAGATTAGCATCAGCAGTCCCCTCTTGTTCAAATCCTTTGATCCAGAATGAGGTCCTCCTTAAAGTGGCAGAGCCTATCCCGGGCCCAGGAGTAATCAGGAAGCTTGGGCTCTGCCACCAAGCAAGACCAGCAGCTGATTTTCAAAGCTCTGACTCCCACCAAGGTAGCCCAGATCCTCTGACAGAAAGTCCAGGTCCTCCCCCACAAATCCATAGGCCCTCCAGGAGTGGTGCGACCTCGGTCATGTCTCTGGTCCAGAGCACTTGTCCATAACTCAAGGGGACTGGACTTGCTGGGAAACCCCTTCTCAAGCCATTTTAGTAGAAGTAGGAAAGCTCCCCCAATGTGCAGTGACCTCATAATACTAGCTCTCACCCTCCCTGTACCAGGTATTTGAGGAGATAGTAGAAGGTCTAGCCTGCAACTCTGGAATACTTAATTTTACTAATTCTTTCCAGAGGCTTTTCCGCATGCTACCCCTTAGGGTTGTTTCCTGAGTGCTACCCTATTGCTCTCTTTTGCCTCAGCATTGACATCAGACCTGCAGAAAGCACCCTGTTGGAATCTGGGACATGGTAGAAGCTCAGAAATATTCGTTTTTTTCTATGGCTTCATCCTTATCTGATCCACACTGTTGCCATCTCAAATGCAGCATCTCTGTTGTTCACTTTAGCATATTTCTAAAATCGGAAATCTCCAGAATGGGTGAGACACTGCCACTGTAGGGACAATGAACAGTTTGGTGTCCAAGGGACCTGCCTCCATTATTCACAACTTGTGTGCCTCGCTCTGTGTCCTTGACGGGTTACTAATTACTCAAGCCCTTTGATCAGTAATTTCCTCATCTGTGGAACAGGGTGGGTGATGGCTTCCTCACTGGGCTGTTGCGAGAAGTAAAGTAAAATGATGATGTGAAGCATCTGGCACCATCTTTAATAACTCTTCTTGCTCTTGTACCTCCTCCCCCATGCTAACCACCATCACTGTGTCGCCACCAGGTGGCGATGACCTGCCGCCACCTTGACACTGTCTCTCACTGCCGTGGGGTGAGAGCACTTCAAAACTGACCCTGTTATCAGTAAGCCAGGCATAGCCCGCGTGGGGGGAGGAGTACTGTTAGGACACAGAATAAGCAAGATGGGAAACGTGCGGACTCGGGATGGCCTGTGTCCACCCACTGTCAGCATGCACAGGTCTCAAAATTAAAGAAAAAAAATATTTTTTTTCCCAAAGCAATGTCCTTGGAAAAAGCTCTTGAGGCTGTTCTTAAAAAAAAAAAAAAAAGTCAGAAAATAAAATTTTAAATAAATAAATAACAGTCAGAATGCAGTTACCTTGGTCTTGGATTAACAATGAATGAAACATGAATTCTACATGAATCAAAGAAAACTCCCTAACCATTGAGCTGTTACTTTCAGCTTAGGTGCCTGAGTGCCCTCTGTTAGGCCAATTTGTTTCAAAATAAACTGTAATTGCATAACAGATTATAAGATCAAAAGAAGAGTCTATATTTTTTTAATCATAGATTTCCATGATGAAAGAGACTAGATTATGTTTTTCTTTCCAAAAGCAATTGCAAAGTAATAATGGTTTTCTTTGTTAAGTTCCTGTATTTTTTTTTTTAAGTTCCCGTACATTCATTAATGATATTTAACTTTGAGTCATTTTGCTTGAACAAATTACCTATTACTTCTGAGGTATTTACCTTGTATCTTTTGCCACTGAGCAATATCCGTTGTTAAACCATGACTATACTGATTTAGTGTTTGCTTATTCCAATAAATTTATTTCAGTAAACTCACTTTTTGAGATTTTAAATGTTACATTTTATTTAATGTTCAAATGGATTGTACCGTCACATGGTTAAAAATTGGGTGATTATTTTTTAAGTGAAGTAATATTATATTATGTAAAGTTTCAGGTGTGCATCATTAAAAATCAGAGTCTATATATATTATGTTCCCCACTAAAAATTTAAATCTGTCCTTCATTGTACAACTGACCTCTTTTACCTGATTTACCCACCCCACTTCCTTCTGATAACCACTAATTTCTCTTACAGTCTAAAAGTTTGTTTTTGTTTTACTTAGTTTATTCATTTGTTTTGTTTCCTTTTGTACCACTTGTGAGTAAAATCCTATGGTGTTTGTCTTTCCCTACCTGACTTACCTCACTTAGCATAATACCTGCTAGGCCCATCCACATTGCTGCATATCCCAAGGCATTTTTGTATTTATAATAATCAAAATAACTCATTTGTTCACCTTGTTCTTAAATAAATTCAGAGAGAATTTGTTAATTCCCTAAGACTTCCATAAAATCTGAAAGTCAGAAAACTATGAAAAAGCTATGTAATCATGTACTTCAGTCAAGTGAAATGCCCAATAGAGTTTGGGAAACTGACTTAGGAGTGTCAGACTTCTACTTTGCCAAGAAAGGAATTAAAACAAGACAAAGCAAAACCAGATGCCCAACCACTGTCTACTATCTCCACCATTTCCATCTCAAAAGAACACACACCAAAAAAGCAAGAGGGGCACTGAGTTTAATGAGTTTTAAAATTTTGTGAAAACCTCTTGGTTGTTGCCATTCTCAGACCAGCCTGGTTTATCAGGAGTGGACCAGATTTTCAACTTCTCCATATCTTTGGGGGCCAAACTCCCCTCTGGCTACAAGTGTTCTGAAGCTTCAGTGAATTGTCCCTTAGAACCTGCTTCCTTTTTCACGGTCAGTAAATAAGATCAGTCTCTGGGTGGCACAGCCCAGGATTCTTTTAGTGAGAATGTTATTAGGACCAAAATGTGGGTGCTAGGTGTACACATGTTTTTGTTTTTTGACCTTCTCAGCAGACATGCCAAGCTGTATTTGTGGGGAACACACACGTATATACACACAAAGTACAAGTACACAAACCTATATACAAGTGTTGCATATACACAGGCACATAAACACACATCCACACCCGTGTAGCCATACTTTAGAGATCACAAATTTATGGCAATGTTTGCAATTCCAGTTCTTATCCATAGAGCCATTGCTTCCCCTTCCATGTTGTTTGTCTCTCCTTCCAATGTATCTAGCACTTTTACTCACTTACACATTTTTATAGTACATTTAAAATAGTTTCAGAACTGTTTCACCTAAAACCAATTTAATAAAGCAGCCTAAAAACAGAATTCAGATTTATTTGCATTTTTCTCCCTTACTCCATCCCATCCAAAACTGAATGCTTGGATTTCTTCTGTCTCTCTCTCCCGCGCCAAACCCCCCGCCCCGCCACCGCCCCCCCCCCACCTTTTCCTTTCTGCCTCTTTCTTTACCTCCACTATGATTACAGAATTCATGTGAAGTATAATTTGTTTCATTTTGCCATCAGCTTAGGATTTTTCCCCTTCCCTTTCTTACTGAGATAATTTTTTAATATGTAGAGCATTAACATGCTGTCCTAACTCCAAATGGCACAGAAAGGCAGATCAGAGAACTGGTGCTCCCTTCCTCCCCTTGTCAGTAACCCAGCTTAGTCGGCTAACATCCTTCGGGCATTTCTCTTTGTCATGTTAAGCAGAACTTGTTTATTTTTCTTATTTTCCCTTCCTTCTTATACAAAGCCTGGCACACAGATATGCTTTCCTGCATTTTGCTTGATTCACTTATTTTCACTGGCTTTCTTCTGAAAATCGCTCCACATTAGTTTATAAATAACTTGCTCAGTCTTCTACAGCTGTCAAAACCATGTGCCATAGTTTTATTCCACCAATCGAAACAAGGAAAAGAAACTTATCTTGAAGGCATATTTGCACACCCATAAGAGACTTCAACGAATCACCCAGTTTTTTCCATTCCTGCCTCATGTCTGCCCGGCAACCTGCAGACTTTCCTGGGTCTGTGAGGAGGTCTGTTTCTTTCCTGTGTATTCTAGAATGTCATTCTTTACTCTTTATTCGTGAACATTCTTCTCAGCTTCCATAAATTTCTTCCAGAAAGTTGCCTTTAAGATCATTTGAAAGATACATCAAGAAGAAGAAAGAAAGAAAAGAAAAACAGGAGAGAGAGAGAAAAGAAAGCAGATATTAGTTTCATATCTTGAAATAAGTCAGCAGTCAGCCTTTAAATAATGTGTCTTTTTCTCCCCCATCTCAATTCTTTTAATGTCCTCAGTACCGGGAATTTTTATAAAAAGCTCTAAATTTATAATATTGGACAATAATTAAGAAAGTGAGGACGAAGGCTTGAAATCTAATGTGACTACTAAGGACGAGTATAACTGTGGGGAGCGGGGAGGGGATGTTAAGACCAAAAAGCAGGGCCTCCTGGGTGGCGCAGCGGTTGAGCTCTGGGTTGCGAAGCTGCCCGCAGCCTCTGCAGGGCTGGTTCGATCCCCGGCTGCTCCCCGGCCACCGGAGGAGGGTCCCACATGGCGCGCAGACCTCTCCTGCCGCCCGCTGCTCCCCTCAGCAGTGTACTTCAGTCCTTCTGCCTGCTCTGCTCCCCGCTCTGGCTCTGGTGAATTCTCTCACCCTCCCGCGCTTCTGGCTGTACCCAGTGCTTGTATAGATAAATAAATAAATCCTAAAAAAATAATAATAATTTTAAAAAAAAGAACAAAAAGCAATCTAATTTCCCGCATCTTCCTGGAAATAATATAATTTTAAACTCTACCAGTGTGAAAATTCCATTTCTGGACAAAGTTTTACTTGACAATATTCTCCTGGGCTTGACTGGTTCCCATCACACCCCTTACCTTACCTTTAGGGAAACATGAGTGCGTTTTCAGGAATGAGGGAAGTAAAAGTACTGTAGAATATTATAAAAGTACTGTAGAATATTATAGAATCTCCAAGATTATCTATAGCCTCCAAGATTACTAATGTCATCATTTATCCTTGGCTGCTTGTATGATTTTTCCCAACAGTTGTGATTCCTACAATGTAGCTATGATTCCCATAGATGTCCCTGCGGTTCTGAACACCTTACCAGAAGAAGACAGATTGGAAACCATCGAACGGTATTTTTTAAAACTTTACTCTCTAATGCAGTTTCTTTTTCCAACATATGACATGTGCTGTGAGAAATTTCAAAGAGCACACTGTGCCTGAGTTTGCAACTTAAGCAAGATAAGGCTAACAAGATGCTAAATTCCTGGTCTCAAATTTGCTGATCTGTAGGTGCTCCTGGAACCTCTCTGGAGTGGGAGGGGGAGTTATTGGGTGTCAGGGGAGCGGCTGGGAAAGGAATAGAGATGGTGCCAAATGGCCTTGGAAGGCTTCCATGATCAATTGGTGGTAATTGAAAGATGCGTAGGATTTGGAGCGGCATAAAGAACTACAGTCCCAAGCCTCCCTGGTGGCGCAGGCGGTTGAGCGCAGTGCCGGTTCGATCCCCGCCTGCCGATGCCCACATGACGAGGCAGACCTCTGCTGTCTCACCCGCAGCTCCCCTCCCCAGTTCATTTCAGTTGATCTGCCTGTTCCGCTCCCCACTCTGAGACCAACCCACAGGTACTGATTCTTAGCAATATTTGAGCTTCCAAAACTTGGAATCCCAGTCTGAACAGGAAGGTGTCTCCTACTCAAACCACCTCATACAGTCATTCCCTAAGAATGGTCCAGCCAGGGTGGGACAATGCACATCTGCTCTAGGTTCAGAGGACAAGTCCTGCCTGCTCATGCCCAAGGGGGAGATGTGTAGCAGACCAAAGCATTGCTAGCACAACCTCCACTCAGCACTAATATGTGGACTGTTGTGACTCAGTTTTCTCATCTTTGAAATGGGAATAATAGTATCTATTTCCTAGGAGGTTGTCAGAGTTATAGGTAAGAATGAGGATACTGGGATGACAATGGTAGCTATAGCAATGAACATTTTCTGAGTACTAAATGTGTTTCAGGTATGGTGCTTTACAAGCCGACTCATTTAAAACCCATAATGAGGTCTTGTTATTACTCCCTACTGTAAAGATGGGGAGGCTGCTAATGGGGAGCCAGTGATGCAAAGCCCCTAAATAGTGATTCGCACAGAGCAACTGCTTCATAAAGCTTAATTTTCAATACTACAGGACTGGAACAACTTTTGCAGTTTTCAGGGGTGCCTTCCTAAGTAAAATATTGCTATGCCCACCTCTGTTTATGTGTCACTGCTGAGTTGTGTTCCTGTTTATAATTCCAGTGTTGCTTTTGTTGATGTTGGAAGCATTTTGCTTTAACTGAATCTGGCAGAGACTGGTGCTTTTAAAAAAATCAATGCCCCTCCTTTTCTAAAGTAATAGGGTTGCTGCAACTAGAGGCTTCCCAACCTCCTTTGCAGTTAAGTAATCCATTCCACCAGGAACGTGAGCAGAGGCGAGGTCTCTCACTTTTGTGGTCAGGGCACTTAACAGAGCACACACATCTCTACACTCTCTCTCTGCTTTGTTTTAGCTGGTCCCCATATAGGTGGTGACCCAACTTGCACTCTCAGATAACAAAGTTCTAGGCCAAGGGCCAGCAAACCTTGGCCTATGGCCAAATCTGGCCTGCCACCTCTTTTTGTAAATAAAGTTTTATTGTAAAATGGCCGTATTAACTCATTTAAATATATCCTATGATTCCTTCATGATGCATCAAAAGAGATGAATAGTTGAAAAGAGGCCATAAAGCCCTGCTATAGGGGATAGCAGATTATGAGTTAAAGATAACCTCAATCCCTTCCTTTTTTCTTTCCCTCATAGATTATTTATAAATATATTACTTAGTTTTTAAAGTAGTTGCACATTTTTTAGTTGTCTTTTTTGCTATTGATTTCTATTCAGATTCCATTGTGGCCAGAGAACATACTCGAAATGATTTCACTGTTGAAATCATTCAGGCTGTCTTTATGACTCAAGATATCACCAATATGGCAAATGTTTCGTGTGAACTTGGAAAGATTATGAATTCTGTCATTCCAGTTTTTGAAAAAAATGCTTTTTATTCTCTGTTTATAAGAGACTACTTCTACCATTGTATGTTGGTGGAAAGCAATTTATCGGCCTTGTGCTTTCTCAATAAAAGGAGGTGGAACTAATGTTGAAAGTCATAAGAATTTCCTAACTCTTAAATGATCACATTGTTTCTCTACTTTGGGAAGGAAAACCTAGTCCACCTAAATGTCTTATTCTTTTTCAGTGAGCTGTGTGAACAGAATGCAGAAGTTATTTTGACTCCAGAAATGATAGAAGTGGAATTCGATATGTTAGACCACAAGAGCACCAAAAAAGAGAGGTAAGTAGATGCTTTTAAAGATTACAAGAGGTAGCGCTGGATCAGAGTTGTCCTATGTGATGTGTCCTATGTCCTGTGTCTGAATTGGACTATTTCATGCTTCAAAAGAGACATGTTTCCAGTGCTCTAGACATTTAGATTACTTTCCACCCTCAAATGTTGTTGGCATGTAACCCTTTAAAAACAAACCAAATTTTTCCACTGGGCTATGGAAAATCATTCCATTGTTTATCATTTAATTTCAGAGATATGTTTGTCTCTTACTGAGAGCTGAATGAGTTTCATTCAATAGAAGGAGCTGGCCTTGGAGCCAAATGAGACCAGGGGCAAAAGCCCAGCACTACCACTGTGTGTTCTCCGCCCAAGTTACTTATCTTCAGTAACTGGGCCTCCTCATTTATAACATGCAGATAATAAGATCTTTCTCACAATTGTGAGGATTAAACAAGATGCAATTGCGAAGACATTTAGCCTAGATGCTCAGCAAATGTTCTTTCCTTTGCTTCTCCTTCAAGGGCCAACAAGCTAAACAAATGTCATCATCATCCTCCAAAAAGTCAGTTTTGAGGAAAACTTTTGTAGTATAAATAACCACCTATATAGTTCATATAGTTTATAAGTTTTAAATTCCAGGTATACTTCTTAAATTTTCCTTTTTTTAAAAAAATGATATTTTTATTATTAAAAAATTCAGAAAATACAGAAAAACATAAAGAATAGAATAAAAGTAATCATCTTACTACCTAGAGGCAGTAACTTGGACATTTTGATGTACGGTCTTCTAAATATTTATTTATAATCTTCTAATTAAATATTAACAGATAGTTAAGAAAAAAATTAATCGTATTATACATATCGTCTTGTCTTCTACACATTCATTTAGTAATATATCACAAACGTATTTGTAACAAATTGACACCATTCTGTGTTACTGGTGGATGGGCCATAATTTATTTAGTGATCCCCCTACTGATGATTTTGTAAACTCTTTTCAATGTTTGGCTGTTACCAATAATGCTGCAATAAATGTCCTTTTGCCATAATTCCTTGTAAACTTCCCAGACTACTTCTTAAGGTAGGGTAAGTTTCTAGGAACATGAATGCTGTATTAATGTGCACCTCCAATCTTTAGTATATACTGCTCAATGGCCACCCAGAAAGCACATCAATCTACCTCCTTTCAGCAGAGGTCAGGTCTGCCCGCATTCAAATGCACCAGGCAACATGGAATACTGCCATTATTTTTTCTTATTACCATTAGATTTTTCAAAATGACTGTCTCATCATTTTAATTTTAACTTTTTTGTTTACAAGTGAAATCGAAATTTTTCCTGGGCTTATCAACTATTTCTCTTCTTTTAGAAGGGCCTGTTTTGTCTATTTTATAGGAAATGCTTGCCTTTTTCTTATTTATTTGTAAGAGTACTTCATTTATTAAGGATAATTATCCTTTATTATACATGTAGCCAATTTCTCAGTTTGTTTTCTAGCTATGTTTGGGTGTTTTGGGGGAGCCCTCCTTTTCCTGAAAGAAATGCCCACATACCTTAAAGTGGATGGTGTTCCTCTGGTTGGTTTGTCATAGTTTTGGAAGCCTACAGCAACCCGCACTTCCCAGAAAATGGACTGGCAATTTCTAGTAAAAGAAAATTTAGGGAATAAAAATTTCAAATAGCATTTCAGTGAGCATCTGTTTAGATCAGTTAATTAACAATAAAATATCAGGTTAATCTACATAGCTCATAAAACCTCTTATACCTTACCAATAGATGCGCTTGCATTTATTACAGCCTTAAAATTAATAATTGACTGGGTTTTAAATAAAAATCTTTTTTTTCCTATTTCAAAAATTATCCCTGACAGAATGGCTAACCCCATGTTATATCCAATACCTCTCTGCTCAATTTGTTAATGTGAATTTTTACTATACAAAGAGCTAATGTTTGATTTGATTGCCAAGTCGTTATTAAATGAAAGAAAAGTAACTGTTGTATATCACCCAAAGTGGTAATTTTTATTCATTTCAACTATTTACCAAAAAAAAAACCTATTAATGAACTCTAAACATTTTCTGTACACCAAATTATCTTCTAATTTTTTTCAAAATGCACATACATTTTCACATATTTTCAATAGACATATCTATGCAATTTTTAACTTATCTATTTTGCAGCTTACATTATTCCATGTACATTTTTCATGTGTCAAAAATGTCAGCATAATTTTCCTTCTATGAACTCTATAGTACACCAACCCGTTGAGATGCCATAGACGATGTTCGAAAGTTCTTGATTCAAAAATCCCCCCCACTTATATCAACCATTGTCCCACATTCAGTACATCATCTCTATCTTTATTTGTCTCCCACTCAGCCTGGACACACAGGGACAGACTCCAAAGAACACATGAGTGGTATTTTATTTCCCCCATAAAGATTGCTATTTATTTGGTTCCTGGCAAATATTTATTTTCATGGACACAAAGAATCATCAGCTTTCTTTCCATGACTGTTATTAACCCAAGAGTTTCTTTTTTTTTAAATTTATTTTATTTATACAAGAGCAGGGGTATAGGCCAGATGCATGGGAGGATGAGAGGATTCACCAGAGACAGAGCAGGGAACAGAACAGGCAGACTACTGAAATACACTGCTGAGGGGAGCAGCGGGTGAGACAGGAGAGGTCTGCTCACCATGTGGGTTGCTCCGAGGCTGGCGGGGATCGAACCAGCACTGCAGAGGCTGCGGACAGCTTCATAGCGCTGCACTCAACCACCTGTGCCACCAGGGAGGCCCTAACCCAAGAGTTTCTTTGCTTCAATAATGATCTTAGCTTTCTCAATACCTACGATGGGGAATCACGTTGTAAAACATCTAAAAAACTATGTCTTTAGTTCTTAACACATCATCCAACAACGCTACTTAAAACACCACAAAATCACTCAATTATTAGTATCTTTAAAAGAGTGATATGACCTGCATATATTCTTAAATTGATTCCATAAAATGGGGCCATTTATTATTTTTAAATACATGCATTAGGGAACATTTTAATTCTCTGCTGTCAGATATTTCTGTTTTTTCCAATGTCAGGTATCTGCCAGAATTTTACATTTCATCCTCCTTTAGAAAATGTTTCAGAAGCACTTAATTTTATGTTCTAGTCTCCTATCTAGGCAGATCATACAGTTAAGTTCACAGTCTTTAGGTATCTGTCCTTTCAACCAAATGCACTCATCATGTCCTCCCAGATGTATATTTGGAAAGTTCTACCCAGCAACTATTGCCACACCCACAAGGTCTGGGCAGCATGGCAGCTGATCCAGGTACATAGCCCTCCCTCTTGATTCCCACCTTTGGGGCCTTTGTCAGAGAAGGAGATCATGTGTCTACTTTACTCACAAGCATGAGGAATCAATTGATGCTGACTAAGAAGTTAGAAGACATTGTGCTAGGACATCAACAAATAATTTCTCACTTCACCTTCACAACAACATGGGAGATGGGAATCACCCATCTTACACATCTGGAGATAGAGACTGAGAGTTTAGGTAACTTAGTTAGCTGTGCTAAGAAATTAGTGCACTGAGATTCGAAACCAACGATGCATCATTTACCAGAAAGGTGTTTTCATTAGTAATAGTATTATTGCTTAATCTATTTAAACCATATGCAAACTCCTCCAGTATTCACTAAGTCATCCCTGGCAATCCTGAGCCAGCAACAGGGGGCTGGAGGGTCACCTGAGAGTTTTATGAAGCACCCTGATGTGTCCTTGTTGGGCTTTTTGATGTTTAGAGAGGTGAAAGACCAACCACAACAGGAGGAGAAGGTGGGAGAAAAGGTGCTTGAGGAAATGAAGTCTCTGCGGAGCAAAGCTCTCAACTCGTACCTGATTCTAGAATAGAAATCATCAGGAGGTCATTTCCTCTCATTTGCTTTCTGCTGGTCACTGGTCCTTTGTGTTCATTGATGTTCTAGTCATTTTGGGAGTTAAAGGTTCTAGAGAAAAAAAAATTGAAATGTAGGTGATAAATGTATTTTTAAATTATTGTTATTCTTTTTAAAAATAAAAGATCAGTATTATGATGGAAGTGTTTCAAGTTTCTTGGTCTAAGATTTAGTGCTGGCAGTACAGAGATGCTAAGAGCCCAGCACTGAGTCTTCTGGTGGTGAGGTAACCCCAGGTGCCAGAGGTGGGTTGAAGAGAGGTTTGAGGAGAGCCTTTCTTCCACCTTTTGGTGGAACCCCCCGCCCCAACCACCCAGGTCCCCTTAGCATCACTGATTTTAGCTGTGGTAGCTGTTCCAGAAAAGACCAGCCTTGGTGAGGACACTGGCTCCCAAGTTGTTCTCTGGAGGCAGACACGGGGGTGGGGAGGGCAGCTGAAACTTGAGAGGACATTGTGGGGTTTAGAGCTTGCAAACTGGTTTGAGAGCAACTGGATAAAACCCCTCTCGGAACTCTCAAAAGCATCTGGGACAGGAAGTCATTGCCAAGGGATCTCAAGTCCCTATGAACACATCAGTAAAAACCAGCCCTTACAATTGTGTTTGTTAACATGACTCCATTCATTTGCACAAGCTGGCAAAACATTTGTATTGTAGAATAGCAATCTGTAGAATAACAATCCATAATTATCCAAATATATTTGGCTATATTATTACCCCTCTCTTTTCTGTGCATGTATTTAAATAATTGCTATCAGACTATGCACAATTCTGAAAGGGCTCTTCATTAACTCGTTGATTCTAAATTATTTATTTTATTTATACAAGAACCGGGGTACAGGCCAGATGCGCAGGAGGGTGCGAGGATTCACCAGAGACAGAGTGGAGAACAGAACAGGCAGACTGATGAAATACACTGCTGAGGGGAGCAACGGGCGATACAGGAGAGGTCTGCCGCGCCATGTGGGACCCTCGCCGGCTGCCTGGGATCGAACCGGCACTGCAGAGGCTGCAGACAGCTTCACAGTGCTGCGCTCAACCGCCTGCACCAC